TGAAAAGCAGCATGACCACCAGAATCAATACAGAATGTCCAGTGAGCTCGATAATCTTCTTCAGAGCAGGACTCGGTTGATACTTGTGATATGATATCATAATGAACAGAATGAGTAGGTAGAGGTGAATCAGGCAAAGGAGAAGAAGCATCAGAACTTTCCGATGAGGTACGACTAAATAATGATGTAAAGGCTCTTTGTAAAGAAGATAGACGAGAAGGAGGAGTAGGAGGAGGAGGAGTAGAGGGGGGATATGTTGATGAATGTTGCTTGGAACTTGGTAAACCTTCCTTTCCTTTCAGCCTCTTAGCTAAGTGGGTGATGAACTCTTCCTCGCTGACTCTCTTCATTGAGTGAGAGCTGTCAGTCTCCATATATCCACAGATGGATCCTCTTACAGCAGGTGTCACTACATCAGTACTTGATCTTTCAAGAGGAGGAGGCTCATTTAGTATGAGATGCTGGAGACACGTCTTTCCACTGCCTGGTGCTCCATGAATCGACATACGTGTGATCTTTAATTTGATCTTAATGTCTGTCGTAAGAGCCTTCCTCATCTGGGACTCTGAATCATCTGTTGAAAAAGAATCAATTTAAATAAAGACACAAGGACATCTGCTTTATTATCATAATGTACATGAGCTGGAAATGGCCATGCATTGGTCAAAATAGGCAATTAATAATGGAAAATTGGTGGTATTCACATACATTTGTATGCTCCAAAATACATCTACTGTAAAACTCCCAAATGCCAATTAAAAAAAGACAACAATATTAAAATCAAATAAAAATTAATAATTTGAGTTTACCTAAACTTGAGAAATACTGAATTAGATGTTCATATTTCTCTTGTTTTGCAACATCTAAAGCAGTCAGTCCATCCTATATAGTGAACAAAAACACTAAATATGTAATATGAACATATATCATAAAAGAGGAAAGTGAACTACAATTACTTTCTCTTTTTTTCATATAGTAGTACCTCATTAACAACCTTCCAACTAGCTCCTCTACTAACAAGTAACTGTACAATATCCAGCCTTCCTGTACTAGTAGCACCCATTAGTACAGTAGATCTACTTTTCTAATAAAAAACACGGAAAGTAAGTATGCAAGGATAAAGGAAGCAGAACATGATAATAAAATACAGGTAATAGACAAGATTTGACTCATAAAAGAGAAATAATTAAAAATGAGAGCCTACTTTTGTCAGAAGATTCATATCAGCTTCATAATCAAGAAGAACCTTTGTTATTGTCATGCTTCCAAAAGTAGCACTCCAAAATAAAGCTGACCTATTATGCTATGTATAAAAATAAAACAATAGCATAGCATAATGAAACAATTCAAAACTGATGCTACAATAAAGCAGACAGAAATATACCGTATAGCTGAAAAAGTTTGTGGGAATTATATTTTTCAATTTTGTACTAATATAGCAAATTCTAATGTACATGTACTAGTATGTGTTTTTATGATGAAGAGCATACAGCAAAATTAAATTCCAGCAAATATTTCCAGCTATACGGTAAGTTATGAAAAATTATAATTTGAATGGGTTTGGATTTTACAATATTAAATTAAACTTCAGAGTCTGATGCTTTAATATGACATCAATCTAGCTTATACTACACATATAATTTCAATTACTTCATCAACAGCATCAACATTTGCACCAGAACTCAACAGTAATCTGACAACCTCCGTCCTATTACTATAGGCAGCAATAGACAATGGAGAATGACCACCCTGAAATAAAAATAGAGAAAGGAACATGTAATTGCCATGTAAAGCAGGAATCTGTGTGGGAATAAAAGTCTGTTTCAATTATAAGACTGGGGCTACATACATTAAGGAAATATAATCCTGTATAAAGTATAGGAGGTCCCTCAAATAAAAGCCTGTGCACAAATTAAAGATAAGATATAGAAGCCCAAGAAAAAAAGCATATCATATTCATACAATATAACAGCAAATAAAATAATATGCCTCGAAGCTACACATCTATTTGACACACCCCTTATCCCTTTAAAATATAATTTATATTTTGGAATAATCTGAAGCAAAAGAACACCATTTCTAAAGAGCTTTTAGGAGCCCAAGGGTAGTGCTTCCTGTGGCAGCTTTAAAGCACATACAGTACTGTATGTGTACATGTACATATACATGTAGCAGGCAGCTTTAAAACTCATTAAATATCTAAACTATCTTACCTGTCCTTTTAATTCAATATCAGCACCATCTTTTATTAGTCGATTGGCTCTCTCCACATCACCATCTAAACAGGCAAACCAAAGCTCTAAATCCTATTAAAATAAAACAAACAATTTAAGTTGAATACTGTAAACCCATTAATAATTACTATCCATTTATTTTAACTAATTAAACCATTGGCTTAATTTCATTCAAGTTAATGGACATAAATATGATTGTCAATGTGCAATTGGTTACTTTAGTTGTAAAAATCGTTGAAATTAATGGACGTTAATATATCCACCATTGCAAAAACGTTAAACATAAAGGTCATTAAACTAGAAATCTAGCAGCAATATAAGGCAGATACACCATCCAAAGACTTCTCCAGCAGCTAAAGAAAGGCTTTAGATTCAATCAAAAAGCGATGAAGCTCGATGAAATTGCTATAAAAACTGTGAAAGTCAATAAGCTTTCTCATCTTATTATTCGATAATATTACATCTAAAGCTGAGTAAAGCAGCTTTACAGACATATTTAGGCAAGAAATATGTATGTTGAACTAGGAGACTAATGATGCATGCTTTGAAATCAAAAGATGGATAGATCCAGTGCCATATAATTGCTTTGCTACCTTAGGCTCGCCCCTTAATGTTTTACATTTGTCTAGTATCTTAAGTTTTAAACTTTATGGTGGAGCATGGCTTGATTGAGCCACACCTTTACATTGCTGCAGCAGCAGTGTAGCAAACGTGCTGAAGCTTCTTAACCAAACAAACTACAATTAACACAAATTGTGGTGAGGGTACGCACCTTAAAGCTCTCATTTACTACCAAATCAGTACTTGTAGTGGGGATCTTTCCCTCAGATGATGTGATCTGCATGACTGAAGAGGCCTCAACCCTCTATACAAATACAATTTACACTTGAAAATAATTAATTATCATACTGAGACTGGCTCTATTTTAGCAGTGGATTCAATCAGTGGATTAGTCTGACCCCACCTCTTCGTTGTGCGGGGGTGGCACCAGTCTATCAGTGGATCTGAAACATAATATGAAATAAATCATTGTTAAAACCCATGAGAGGTATTTATAAATTACCTTCTTCATTGCCCTCAAAATCTTCTGTAAAAATAAAAATAAAAATCATTTTATACATACAAGTACATAATTACCTTTTTCATTGGTCCCTAGTTCACCGAAATATTCTGTGAAATAATAGTAAAAAAATATAATTTTATACACTGCATCATCTAACCTTTCTCTTCCAGAGGTAATTGAATTACAGTAACTCCTTTATCCTCTAGCTTTTTCAATATAACTGGATCCTTAAGATCTCTTGAGACATCATCAAGAATACATGGTAGTATAGCATAAGTGATGATAATGCATTTCTTTTGTAGTTGTTTTAAAAATGT